TCTTTTTTTTGTTTAAAAGAAAAAGACGTACATATTGGCCAAGAGTAGATTTATATTCTTCACTTTTCATTTATGCTCCTCATATGTTTCATTTTTCTAATTATTCTTTTATAATGTTAATATTTTTTTATTAAATCGAAATGTTTCTGTAAGTAATACATGCAAGAACAAGAGCAAACGCCGAAAAATGATATACAGCTGCTAGCGCGAGGCTTAGCCGCGTACGCTATGCCTATGTTGAAAGAAAGAAACAGTAGACATATCTCTGTTCTCTTCTACCGCCCGAAGACGGCCGAAGCGTCGAGCACACACGTACACGGCTGCTTGCCTGTGTGCGTATCCCCTCCGCTTGCTGCAGCGTGCTGTAAGAGAGTCAAAACTGGGCACACTGGTCCCCACCTCCATCTGGGGGCTCGGACATGGAGGTGGAGGAGGACGCCTCCACACTGGCCCCCAGCACGAGTGGGGGCGTAAGAAGAACCCCGACTGCCGCCGAGTTTCTCGGCATTGTCGCGGCCGAGAAACGTGCCTCGGACGCGAGGCGTGCGGAGGCAGTTATGGAGCTGGAGGACGTGTCGTGGCGCGACACCACTCGGCTACCGTCCTCCAGACTCACGTGCCCGATTGCCTCCGCGGCTGAAATGGTGCAAAAAACGCACACAGCCGCGGAGGCCGTGATGAAGGTGGCCACTACTTCCAAAAATCTTGCCGGCCGGTACGTCAAGATCCTAAAGGAGGTGGCGGCCACTATAAGTGGACTGGGCGAGGGCATTGTTGCCCTCGCCTATGTGCCGATAGAGGCGGCAGAGTCGGAGCTGTCCGGGCCTGGCGCGCGCGTGGATGAGCGCGTCAGGACGCTGGAAGAAAAGCTCCGACTCAGCAAGGAGGCCGGGAGGATTATGTCCTCCCGGTATAAAAAAGTACGGGAGATGCTCGACGCGGCCTACAAGAAGGGTTTTTCCCTTGTAGGCGCGTCGAGGAAGGAGGTCGCGGACTGCGGGACGCAGGTTGGTAAGCCTGGGCTTGTCCCGCAGGCGACCGCGGCAACGACTCTGCCGCCAAGAATGGACTCTCGGGGGGTTCAAACAGAGGGGAGCGGGTAAGCCCCTCAGGGAAGATCCCCCTCTGGACCTCCCGGAGGATAGATGTGTCCGCCTTTTGGCGAAGAAATATGCAAGAATGGGTGTGGAATATGTGTAGGAGGATTTGGGCAGGAAAGGGGTGGATCAATGAGTGGAATGAGGGGATAGTGGTGCCAGTGCTGAAAAAAGGAGAGAAAAATAAGGTAGAGGAGTATAGGGGGGTGACATTGGCCGGGTCATTGTATAAAGTATATGCGGAGGTATTAGCAGAAAGGTTAAGGGAAGAGGTAGAGGGAAAGAATTTAGTTCCGGAAAGCCAGGGGGGTTCAGGAGAGGAAGGGGTACGATGGATAACATTTATGTGATAAATTACCTGGTTAGCAGAAATTTAAGTAAAAAAGGGGGGGTGATTGCTTTATTTATAGATTTAAGGGCGGCTTTCGACACGGTCAATAGGGAGACTTTACTAAGAGCGATGAGGGAGAGAGAGGTGAGAGAGGGATTAATGGGAAGGTGTGGAGACATATAGAGAGACGAGAAATAGNGTGGCGGCAGGGGAAGAGGTGGGGAATGAATTTTGGACAGGTAGAGAGGTGAAGCAGGGATGCCCGCTGAGCCCGTATCTGTTCAATCTGTTGACGGCGGATATGGAGGACTATTTGGGTAGGAACGGATGGGGTGGGGTAAAGGTAGGGGGAAGAAGGGTTTTTGTATTGGCGTATGCGGATGATTTGGTGCTGTTAGCGGAGGAGGAGGAAGGGAAATGATGAGAGGGATGGAGAAATATCTGGCGGGAAAAGGTTTGGAAGTCAACGAAATTAGATAAATCAAAAGTGATGAGGTTTAGGAGGGGAGGGGGGAGAAAGAAAAAGTTGGAATGGTGGTGGAAGGGGGAGAGATTGGAGGAGGTGAGGGAATTCAAATATTTAGGGTATGTGTTTCAGAAGAACGGAGGAAGAGAGGCGCAGATAAAAGAGAGAGTGAGAAAAGAGGCGGCTATTATGAGTCAGGTGTGGGGGATTGGGAAGAGGAGGTTCGGTGGGAATTGAGGTAGAAAATTATGGTTGTTCGACGTATTGGTTTGGTCAGTGGTTGGGTATGGGATGGAGATATGGAGATGGAGAGAATGGGATAGCTTGGAGAGGTTACAAAATAGATATATAAAGTGGTTATTGGGAGTAGATTGGAGGACTCCAGGGTATATCGTAAGGGAAGAAATGCAGAGGGATTTATTAAGGAGAAGGGCGGGGCAAAGGGCCTGGAGATTTAAAAAAAGGTTGGAAAGAAGAGAGGGTAGCAAAATAGCGAGGCTATGTTTAAAGGAGATTAGGGGTAGAGAGGGGAGGCGGGGAGGGGTTGTCTGAGTGGGAGAGTGACAGGATAAAATATTATGAGAAGAAAGGAGTAAGGATAGCGAAGATAGGGGAAAGTAGAGAGGCAAGAGAATGGAGAGCTCAGCGGTTGATAGAGAAGGACAGGAGGATACAGAGTGAAGAGAGATAGAAAAGGATTGAAAGTTTGAGGTACAATAGATGGTACGGGAAGATTAAGAAGGAAGGAGTGCCGGGGTATTTAAAAAAGGAATGGGGAGAAAGTAGATGTCAGAGGGTGGCTAGGTTTAGGATGGGGAACGAGATGAAAGAAGGTAGATACTGGGAAGGGGAAAAAGAAAGGGTATGTAGAATGTGTGGTTTAGTGGAGGAGGGTTGGAGACATGTGTGGGAGGATTGTGGAGTATGGGGGGCGGAAGGGAATTGAGAGGATATGACTGAAGTGGTGCTGGGGGAGGAGGGGGAGGGTGAAGGATGGTTAAGGAGGTTGGAGGAATATAGGGGAACGGAAAAGAAAGTAGGTCAGGAGGAAGGGGAGAAGTGATTAGGAGGGAAGAGATGTAAGATGAGTGAGTGGGAGCTGAGTGAATGAGTGTGTGGAAAGAAGTGTGTAATTGTATGTATGAAAGTGAAGAGAGTATGGGAACCAATGGCGGAGTAGCTAGATAGAGTTGACTGCCGGAAGGGGAGGTCCACATTGCGTAGAGTAGGGTAAAGCGAGTGCGTGTGTGTGTGTATATAGGTATTATAGTTTTTAAGTTAGTTGGAAGGATAGTTGTAAGAGTAGATGTAAGTTTTTTGTGTAAGATATTGTAACCCTAAGGGGAATCAATAAACATTATTTATCTATCTATCTATCTACAAAATGGATCAAATTTCTGTCTTTCGATATTTGTAAACGAACTAATATTATTAAAAACTGATCGGTCAATTTTGTATATTTTTTAAATAAAATTTGAAATTTATTATTTAGCAATTTATTACTCCTAGTATATAAAAGTGGCATTTGGTTNGTCAAAAATATATCGACCTCTTTTTTCTGTCCGCGCGATGTAACAATGTATTAATTTACAAATGTATTCCGTAGTTCGCGCAGATGCTCATCGAGTACTCTATCAATTCATTATGTTACATTTTGAAACAAACGAATGCTGCAAATCCCAAAAGGACTGTCATATTGTTATCGATCACTTGCGTGTGCGTTACCAGGTAACGTGTACGGAGAATACAATTTGAAAAGTATGGAAGGGATATCAACCAACGATGGGCACATTAATAAATTTTTACGTTGAAGTTTGACATCGAAAACGTGAAAGTTGAAAAGTGGCAGCTTGTTCACAGTTTCACAATAAAAGGGATATTTTTTGTTATGCTCATTCAAACGCGTTCTTGACCTTACCGTTTTCTTTCGTGTACGTTTTTTCTTACCACAAGGACGCTGTTAGACTAACCTACTCAGACACTGCTCGCGCAGCAGGTAGGCAAGATTAAACCACCAATTTGACAAAAGATCAGCATGTTTCTCGCTTGCATTAGCGAACAAGGTTGAATGGGATGATTGTCACAGAAACCCGGAACTTACATTTCACATTTTTTTGACTGTTTTGCGGCGTGACACCATATAATGAGACTCTTATAAAGCAAACCTTTTTTTTTACTTGAGGAAATGCATACGCACACCCTGACCCCCAGGGGAGGGCCACGGTAGTGTGGGACTCGCACCCACTAAAACCCCAAGGTGATCCTCCAGCACCACGGGAGAGAGTCCTGGGAAGCCTTACGGCTATACGTCTCGGAACTCCCTCCGGTGCCTGGGTGGCAAGTTACTGCCACCCCGTACCTGACTGCGTGGGAAGAAGTGGGACCACACCACTTCCCTTCACCTCCGTGGGGCCACGTGTAATGACAGGGGAGGGCCCCCGCTCTCCACCCGTGTGGGCCCCGTCACCTCTCACCCACTTTAGGCAGTAGGGAGAGGCACCACTCACCCTCTCATCGCGAGAGGGAGAGGCCGCAGCCGAGGCTACTCGCTCTCGTTGTCACCAGCAAGCCGCGGGGACCTTCGCCGTCTTCTGCTCGCGGGCTGCCCCTGGCGGGCCAGTTCCGCATCCTCCTTGACTGTGCCACAGAAGGCCACTATTGCCCGCCAACACCCTGCGTCGCGCAACATGGCGCTGACAACCGCCGAGAGCGACAAGTTGTCGCCACTGTGCGCCCGCACGGCCGCACGCTCCTGTGCCCACGCTGGGCACTCCTCCAGCGTGTGTTGCGCGCTATTCTCCGCGGAGGGACAGTGAGGACACGCTGGAGTGTCGGCCTTCCGGATGCGGAACAGGTAGTCGCCGAACGAACCATGCCCGGTGAGGATCTGGGTAAGGTAAAAAGTGAGTTCACCATGAGCTCGTCCCAGCCACCGATTCAACACCGGGTCAACCGCCTCCCGAACCCTGAGGCCGGACCCACCCGGCGCCAGGAGACGCTCCCGCCACCTGCGTACAAGGGCCCGCTCCACCTGCTGGTTGACCAGCAGCGTCCGATTGGAAGTGATGTCAACTCCTTCGTTCCGGTACTCCCGGAAACGAAGGAACCGGTCTATTTGCTGACGCGCAAGCAGGTTTGCCGGGGGAACACGGGCCAGGACCCGGACCGCCTCCAGCGCCGCCGTTTTGTATGCCCTGACCACCCTAGACGCCATTAGGCGTTGCACGCAGCGTAGGGCACCACGGCACGGCCCCGGCCGAGCGCCTCGTACACTGGCGCGCCGTACATCAACACAGAGTGTACGACGACCTGGTATAACTTGCGCACGTGCTCCCGGGGACCCCCCAAGTTGGGGAGCTGACGACCCAGCGCGGCAGCCACCCTCCCAGCCTTGGCCGCTGCATAGTCGAAGTGGTCTTTAAAGGACCACTTTCCGTCCACCATGAGGCCCAGGTACTTGATACACGATCGTGTGTCCACCTGGGCCCCATTCACCAACACCCGTACCGGACCCCCCGCGACCCCCTGGGAGCGGAAGACAACCGCCTCCGTCTTCTGGGCCGCGAGGATGAGTCCCAGTGGCGCGATCCGTTGCGACATTGTCGCAGCAGCAAGAGAGTTGTTTAAAGCCGCCTCCTCCTCATCGCGACCTCCCGAAAGAATTAATGTGTCGTCGGCGTAACACACCAAACCTGTACGTGGCGGCAGCTCGACCCGGAGTACCGCGTCGTATCCCACGTCCCAAAGCAGAGGCCCCAGCATCGACCCCTGGGGGACCCCGCACATAACTTGGTGGAACCGGAGTTGCCCGTCCCGACATGGAATGCATACGACGTTTCGGCCTGAGAAATAGTCATCGAGGACGGCTAAGAGACAGGTGGGGAGGTTCCATCCTCGCAAGGCCGCCCTGATGCCACCCCAGGATAAGGAATTGAAGGCATTCCTTATATCGAGGCTAACCGCCACGCACACCCCCCCACGCGAAATGTGGGCCCCGGCAATCTCTCGAACGCGCAACGCCGCGTCGCACGTCGAGAGGGCCGGTCGGAACCCGTACTGTTCTCTGGACAGACCACCCTCCGCTGCCAGCCGCTTCTCGATGCGGCCCGCCAGCACCCGCTTGAAAAGTTTACCCCCCTCGTCGAGAAGACACAGAGGTCTATAGGACGAGGGGACCGCTCCAGGGCGAGCGACCTTCGGAACCAGAACCAGGCGGGCCTGTTTCCAGTCCCTCGGGAACCGCCCCTCCCGCAGACACTGTGTGAAGCAGCGCACTACACGCTGCGGGAGTAAGGCCGCCTGGCGGACCCACACAGCACATGTGAGACCGTTCATGCCCGGGGACGTCTTCTTACCGGCGATGCGCTTCGCCGCGGCACGGACCTCGTCCACCGTCACGGCGTGTGCTTCCCTCTACGG